CTTCAATAAGATTGACATGTCGCAGTCTCGAGGCAAGCTCTCGTGATCTTCTAAAAAGGAGTCTGCATGCCTTTCAATCTCAACTTGCCAAGTTTTAGTGTTTTACTACTTCCTCCGTCGCCTAACATGGATCCCTTTTTTTTTTTTCACTTTTTTTTTATCTTTAAATATAAGTTGCAATTCAAATTTTTAGACGTAATCAATTCCAAGAATATATCTTATAGGAAATTTAAATTACCTATCCCATATTTGGTATTTTAAATTTGGAACATTTTAATCAAGACTTTTAAATCTACTTATTTAAATCTAATGCCTCTAAATTTTTAAATTTTTACTGCAGTTTATAGATACTAATTTGATATTAATTTTTTTAAAAAATAATAAAATTTTTTCCATTTAAATTAATATAAGAATTTCCTTAGTTTATTTGTTCATTGTCCTACTTCACTTGTTAATTTATTTATAGAATTTTGTTTATTACCCTACGTAATTTGTTTTCATTTTTATGTGTTTAAATTATTTTAAGACAATTTATTGATTACTATACTATATGTTATTTATTTATTTCCAGACTATTGTTTATTGTTTTATTTCACTTGTTCATTGTCTTACTTCACTTGATTCATTCGAAGAAAATAAACAATAGGGGTGGAAATAGGCTAGGTTGAGTAAGACTTTAGCTGGATAGGCTTGAGCCTGTGTGGTAAATCAGAAGCTTGAACCTGACTTAAAGCTTATATAAAGCTTTTCTTATATCTCAAACCTGAAACTACCTAAAGTTTAGCATGGCCTAAAAGTCTATTTAAATTAGAAGCTTGAGTTTGTGTGGCAAATCAAAGGCTTGAAGCTAGCTTAAAGTCTGTATAAGACTTTTGTCACATCTCAAATCTAAATCTACCTAAAGCCTGGAATAATCTGAAAGCTTATTTAAAAGCCTATTTAAAAATAAGCATTTTAAATATACTCATATTTTAGTTTTAAAAATTTCAAATATACTTTAAAACTATTAATATATTATATATAATATATAATCTAATTTATCAATTATAACACATAATAATTAAAAGGACTTAACAATTACAATATAATATGATAATAAAGATGATGTGCTAGGTTGGGCCTAAAGTAGGTTGTAGTGTAGAGGTCTACCCTATTCTCACCTTATGAATAATTGAAATAAGGTAATTAATAATATTTTATAAGTAAATGAATATGTTAAGTAGGATAATAAATAAGTGAAATATAACAATTTTGATATTAATTTAAATAAGTAATAATTTTATTTTTTATCAGAAAATGAATATCAAATCCTCCTAGACTATAATAAAATTTTAAAAATTTAAAAGTTTTAAATTTAAATAAATATAATCCAGGGGTCTTTATTGAAAGCCTCCCTTTAAATTACACTCCTTCCTAAAGCATTAAATACGGGGGAGAGTGAAATGGAAAACTAATGTTTACATATCACTTAAATTTCAGCATTTCCTTACTTAATGTGTTTTTCAAAATTAGGACTTTTATTAAGAGATCGAGAGGAAGTACAATATGCCGACTAAACAGGACATGAAGAATTTTATTAGCACAAGTAATTAATATTAATTTTTAGATGTTTTATAACAATAGCTATAAAGCACGTTCTAAAAAATAAAACCTTGTCCAGATTATAAGATGTCTGGCTAAAATATTAAATAATATTGTATTTTGATACCTATAATTTTAATAAATTTTTTGTAATCTATATCATATATAAAAGTATTATAAGGTTTGCACAAACCACAAATTACATGGATGTATGTTTGGTGGGAAAAAAAACTTTAAAAGTACAAAGATGCGCGACATCTCCTGATCTTCCTCTCGCGTATCACTCCCGCACTACTATCCTCGTCCATGGGAAAATTTTGTTTTGAGAAAATCTCACTCATGGACCATGCCGCCTGTTATTAGCATGGAAGGACCCTATGATTTTAAAATGTCACTCCACACTCATGGGACTAACTGAAAATAAGATTTAAGGGGGGAAAAAAACTAATTACCTCTAAATTTTAAAATAATTAAAAAAAAAAACATGTTTAAGAGAAACCCCGACCATTTTGTCGTACAACTCGAGCCCCTTCTTCCCAAATCCATTACTTTCACACAATCTGAGCCTTCTTCACTCATACTTTCCCAAAATGCTCGTCAAATGCGGAAGGCTCAGATTCGGCTGTCCAGGAAAGTCTGCGGGGGTTTTTGAGTGAGATTATTTTTTTGTTTTTTATTTCTATTTAAATATATCAATAAAAAATATATATTAATAAGGAAGAGGAAGGAATATATAAAAAAATCACAACCAGCCTCTTCCTAAAAGAATTAATCACAAATAAAGATCAATACTAAAAAAATTACATCCAACCCTCTCCCAATAAAATTAATTACAGATAAGAACCAATGTCGAATGGGTTATTATTAAAATGAGAATGTGACTTATTTTTTTTTAATGAGATTTTTATTGATCCTTATTTATGATTAATTTTTTTAAAAAGGAGCTGAATGTAATTCTCCCTATATATATATATAAGCCTTGAACCATTGTTCGCCTTTGCCCATTGATGATTTGGATTAGTTAGAATATGCTCCATTCGGTAGTATCTACAGGTCACTTCTAATATTTTTTTACTAAAATAAGAAAAATGTTAAAGTTATTAATTCTATTTAAAAGTTAAAGTTTTTTCTACCTTGTCCATGTTAAGTAATATATTTTTTTTAAAAAAATTTCTTAATTTCATACTTAAAATTTGAAATGAAAATACTATGTTATAGAAGATCGGACACCTAAGAAACCAAAGAAATGGGGAATGTGCGCGCCAACTTGAGCTGAGGAAATAAAATTGAATGAAAGAAAAGAAAATAAACAAAATCAAACAAGTTTATCCTTCCAATGGACGCCCCCACTTCAATATTCAGCACTTCATCTTCCATTCTCATAATTCATAGAGCTTTATATCTTTTTTTCACTTTGGAATCGAATATATATATATTTTTTGTGCCCCCTTCATCAATTTGTTCCCCTTTTTTTCAATGGATAACTTTGGAATGTTTTCACGCCACTGCGATGTCTTTCTGGGAAGTCAAATTATTATTATTTGCTTTTGATCATGCAAATATCCTTTTGTTCAATCTTGTAGTCTTTATCGTTACAGTTTTGAAAACTTAAATACGCGCATATATATCATTTATGTGGTTTGCCTCTAAACTTAAAGGAAAATTCGAATCGAAATAATATATGATTGTATGTCCGTATTATATTATATTGAATCAAAATAATATATAATTGTGTGCGCGTACACTAATATAAGATCTGATTGGCAACATATTTTAAAAACAGTTTTTTATTTTTCAGAATAAAAAAATAAAAAAATTTATTTAATAACATGTTTTAAAAAAATATTTTAGAGTATAAAAAATAAAATATTGCTCGGGAGAGCAAAAAAATAAAAATAACTTTTAAGTGTTTTGAGATTATTATTTTAAAAAATAAAAAAATATAAAAAAATAATTATTTTATTATTTTTTATTCTCAAAATATATTTTATAAAATATTAATTTTTAAAATAATAAAATAAAAATAATTTCAAATAATCCCATATGATTCATTGAATTGTGCCTTTGGGGTTATGGCGCTTGCTTGCCTTACGTGTCATCCCTTCATTCGCATTTAAAGCAGCCCGTCTTTGTCCAATTTCGAAAGCCCAACTATTATTATCAATATTTTTGTGTCAATGAAAATTCTTATTCCCACAATTATTATTTCAATTTTTTTATCATTTATCGGATCCTATTATAAACAAGAAATTGTGGATTATAAGCAAGAATAATAACCCCTTGGGTTTGCAATGGGTTGTCAATTTACATTCAATATATACAAATAATCATTAGTTGCTGTTGTGGAATGCGTTTTGAATCATTTGAATTTGAAATAAATTAAATATACCAGATGAAACTATACTATATATTTTTTTAATAACAAGAGTAACAAAGTACAAAAAAAGGAGAAAATAGTGTAAAATACAAAATTCAATTTGCATGGTTTTAGAAATGGTTTTAGGGATTTTAATTTCAAATTAATAGTTTCTCCTAAAAAAAACCACTACATGCCTATGGTATGATATGACGAGGATTTTTTGAATATCAATGACAATGAAAGGCGTGCCGCACGCATATAATTGCAGAGTAAAATATATTATGAACAAGAAAGTAAAATCTTTACATTTAACACAATTCATTTAATATTTTTCATCGAAGGCTAAATTCTCATTTTTAAGTTTATAAAAACTTGTAATCTGACCCAAACAAAAAAAAAATGGTTACTCTTTACTCAGATTAGAACTTATGTCATAGAAAATTTTAAGTTCTTATTTATGAAACAAATAAATATTTCTAATAATATCTTTGATATGTATATTATTGAATAATCGTGGTGGATATATTGACCAAAAAAAAATCGAGATGGATATAGATAGAATTGATTAAAATTTATTATAATCAATTATACTTTTAAAAGGGATGTAATTTCAAAAGTGTAAACTAATTTAGAATTATTGTGCATGACCGAAAAATACAATGAATGATATTCAGACGTTGATTGGTTTTCATTATTTGAGGTCTACCAAGGGATCGTTTTGGTTTGATGAAGCATACATATGCTTGTGATCTATCCTACACACGACGGACAGGGGTGGACAAGCCGTGGGGCTTGTCGCCCTCAATGCATGAGGAAGAAATGAGAGAGAAGGGCAAAATTGAGAAATCACCACAAAAGCAGTCTGCGACATGCTATGCGGCTTCTCTCTCCGTCTGCGTCAGCGAATAAAGTCGACCCCTACCAGAATCCAATCCCCCATCTCCTTACGTCACCGAATCCGAGGCCAACCCTCAGCGATCCAACGTCTCATAACCGCGGTCGCATATTGTAATCTGCACCTCATCGTACTATAGTATTACTCCCCTTTTGGTCGTCACTCCCTATCTTCCTCTCATCTATGAATACGGTGCCAAGCCTTCCTTCTTTCCTCCTTACCTCCCTTTCTCTGCCTCACGATTTTTTGCTTCGACCCAAAATTTTTTTCCCTGTTCCTTCTTCATCTTCCTCCTCTCAGAGTAATCTCTGAGGCAGCTCAGGTACTTTCTTCCTTCGTCCTGATTTCTCTATGAATCTTTGTGTTTTTGGTCCCTCTTTGGGGGATCTGAAAACGCAGTTAATTTTTGGAACTTGTCTGTCTGAAATTTATGAGTTTGCGTTTCCCCCCTTCCCCTTAGCTGCCGAATGAAAAGTGTTCTTTTTTGTTATGTGAGAAAGGTTGAATCTTTGGATCTTTCTAGGGTGTGGTTATGTTTAGAGCTCAGATTTCTATGGAATTTTGTTTCGTTATCTTCTGATCGAAACGAGTTTCATTATTCTTTTTCTTTTTCGCGGTTACAGGCGTTTCCTTGTATAGATCTCTGAGGGTAAAGATTTAGGAAGAGGAAAATGAATTGCTGCAGAAACCAACAAAACGCCTGGACAAGCTGCGAGGAGATGAGGAAGGAGTCGATGGTTTGCCCTAAGCCTCGTCGCTTGGGTCGCTTAAACGTTTCAACGATGAACGACCACATAAGATCCATCAGACGGCCAATATTCAGGTAATTCTCAATTTCTATCCTTTACTAATCACAAATTCTGAGCTTTTCTTTGTAATAATCTTAACTTTTTGAACTATTTCAAAACAAATCAGCCACCAGTCAGACATGGAAGATCCATCAGGAGTTGTTCGGGCAGAGCTTCTTGATATTATTCTCCCCAAGGTTATTTTCCGCCTCAATCTCCAACCACCAAATAAAATTCAATTTTGGTGATTTATGATGCGCCCCTTTTAAAGACGACAAAAGATTTCATCTTGTAGATCAGAAAAAATCTAACCTTCAGAAGTTTTTGTGCATGTTATTCAACAGGAAAGTTTGGCTGACCGATCTGGGAGCCAAGTGGGGTTTTCGCCTCCATATTTTTGTGGATCTCCACCGAGCAGGGCTTCAAACCCTGTGATCCAAGACGAGCAATTCGGTAACGGCAATTTCAATCCATTCTCAATCACGCCTTCGTCGCCTTCTTCTTCTTCCTCAGCGAGAGGCTGTGTTCGAATGAGCTTTGGCCACAAACCAGCAGCTGTCAGGATTGAGGGCTTTGATTGCTTGAGCAGAGATAGGCGAAACTGCAGTATTTCTGCTGTAGCATAAAACTCATAACCAAAAGCCTCATCAACACCATGAAGCTGAGGAAAGAAGGTAGATGATGAAAAATTTCCGAGAGTTCGAAGAGCAGAGGAGATTTTGGGAGAGAAAGGAGCCATTGTTGAATTACAAATTTTTAGTGTAATATATGTATATAAAGGTCTATCAGACAGTCCTTGTTCATGAGTTAAAGGCGTCATGTCATGTAACATGGAGATATGGCGAGAGAACCAACCAAGTCTTTTTGTGATTTTGAAGAATAAAAGAAGACAAGGTGTTTGCGGGGAGAGAAAGCTCAGCCTTTCTCACCTCGTTTCGTTGTTAGGTTTAACATATGATTATGGGTCTGGAGTCTGAAGTGTTGTGTGTTTTGTCACTCAGATCCTCCCTTTGTAAGTGTAATTTGGAGGAAGTTGAGGATTAATCTCTGGAATTTGATGTTGTAAATTAAATTTTTTTAATCTCAGAGAAGGCCAAGTTGATGTAGATGATAAAGAAGACGATGTTGCCTCTGCGTGTGCAAAAGTATGCAATTCATTTCATTACAATAGTACTTGATGATAACATAAGAAAAAAGCTTTTGGGTGCATGTCTTCGTAGAAACGACGTTTATTTTGGAATGGAGGGAAAATAAAGATTGTGGCTTGAGGGAAGGTTCAGAAGGGCAGATTAGGTCAAAGGTGGGGGGCTGGATTTGAAGATGGGAGTGTGGAATTGAATATGGATAGAATGTGAATGAAGATAAGTGTGCGATGATGTGATGGTCCAAGAAGCTGACTAGGCAATGGGGTGGTGAAAGATGCATCACCATGCATATGTGTGTCTCAAAGGTATATTTCAATTTTTAAATATAAACAAACAAATTTTAAGAGAATATAAAGGCGCGTGCGAGGGAGCGTGGAGACGCGACGATGGGACCCCATTCTGGTGGGTGAAGACTGACGAAGGTGCGTGGGAGCTTCGTGGTCACTAGTTGGAGCATTGTGAGCAGTCAAAACAAAACAAAACAACAGCATCACAGCTGGCGCGGTGGGCTTGTGGCTCTGTCATGTCACTCTGGTTCTAGCCAGTTTCCGTCTCGTTGACAAAATCCTCAATCCATACCAACATGATTTTTATTTTCAGATTATTTTACAATAATTTTTTTTTCCAAGGGCTGAAATTGAGGAATAAACTTTTTCTCATTTTTAATTTGCATATACTCATCAAGTATCACATACTTTATCAATAGACGTAAGTACTAGCAGTAGAAAACATGAGGGCTTAGTTTTAGTCTTTGTGAGTGTGTGGGGAAATATTTTAGGAAAAGCATTCCCAGCTAAGGATTCAAAGCTTGAGCAGCATACCTTACCGGCAAGTACAACGTCTCTTCTATATTCCAGTAGCAATATTTGTTTAATTTTTGATTATTATATTTCCCTGATTGTAATTTTAAATTTTATTAGTGCATTAATTTAATTATTCAAATTTTAATCTTAATCATTATATTTGTATTGTAAATGCTCATACATTTTTGTCTGTAGGTTGATGCAAAAGCGGTGGTGGATAGCTGGTAAAAATAAAAAAAATAAAAATCGTTGGTGGATAGTGACACCATTACAATTTGAATATACGCAGTTTTAAAAAAGTTAGTTGAGTACGTCTGAAATTTTAAAAAATATATATTAAATTACCTTTTGTAACTAATAAAATAAATTTGTTGCATGAAAATAAATTTTGATTTTATAAGGGATAATTTTAAAAATATGCAATAAATACTTTTTGAATTTTATAGTTTTTCTTATAAAAAATAATAAAGTATATCATAACTCCTTTTATAATAAAAAACAAAGAGAGTATTTTATTTGCTTGGACTATATTTATTCATTTATTGTGTGGGAAAAAGAAGTTAGAATTAAGCAAGTTGGTGCAATTAAAAAATTAAAAGCTTGTTGGATTATGGATTTCCTCCAATTCCGAGAACCCATGAAATTGGGAATGGCCGAATGGGAAAAGAACAAGTGAAATATGGATTTTAATACGGAGATGATGACTTTGCTAAAAAATAAAAGAAAATAAAAAAATACAGAGATGATGACAATTTAGAACCCCATAAAAAAATGTTAGATAAAGGATTTTCAAAAAATCTAGATTAATATTCCCTCAATCTCAATATATAAGATATTTTAAAACAAAATTTATATACTAATAAAACTCATTAAATACATTTTACAACCTTATTTTTTCAAACAAAAAAAATAAAAACTTTTAAAAATACCCTTTAGTTAAAACTCCATCTATAAAAGAATATTAAATAGATAGAATATAATAGGAAAGATAATATTAAAAAAAATTATCATTTATGAGATTTTATTTTTATTAAAATATCTTATAATTTGAGAATGAGATAATATATTTTTAATTCTATTTATATGGCAAATAAATCATTTCTTTTCATCCTATTTATAGGGTATTTCAATAATTATTTTATCTATCTTTACCTTTTCGTTCTTATTAAATGGTATAAAGGTTATTAAATATCAGAGTATTATGTATATTTAATAGGTAAAATTGGATATTTATTGAATCTTTAGATATGATTAATGAGCTTTAATGCTTTCTCTGTTTTTTTTTTATAGAAAAAAGGTTGAGTTTTATTTTTGGCCGACCAGAAGAGTATTTTGAACTCAAAATTTTTAGTAATCAAGTCAATAAATATAGTTATATGATGGTAAAAAAAATCAAGTCATTAAATATAAAAATAATAATATTAACAGAATCTTATTTTTTTCCCATAAAATATACTATTTACTAGTTTTATTAATTTTTATATATAGTTATATGACATCCGATACCAGGGGATTGTAGTTTTATTAATTTTAAGTTGAACGTTGAATAAATCAGCGCTTATAGAGCAGCTTTTATAAGTACTTAATTTTGCTTCTAATGAGTGATGAGTTTAATTATTGGAGCGATTTTGATCCCCTCAACATGAACTCGTCATGTTTCCTCTTAAGAAAATTGAAGGGATCTGAACACTGGGGCCTGGGCACATCAAAATACATTAATTTCTTTTTAAGAAATATTTTTAATTATTCCTACAATTTTTTGTCATTACAAGGAAGTGACTTTTTTTTTAGATTCAACTCTTTTTGATTCCAATAATTTTTTTTAAGTTTAAAGATAAGCTGATAAGGTTGAATTAAATCAATATTAAATGAAAACATTATATTTATCATATGCTAATAAACGATAAAGAGTGGCGAATTAAGGTTCCTATCTTCACTTATACATTTAATATCTAACTATACTTTAAACAAAATTACTTTTAATAAAAAAATAATTGTGAGCAATTAAAAAAATATATAATAAAGAAAACATTTTTATTCAACTCAAATTTGCCATCAGTCATAACACCTCTACTATATTTATTTTAATTTAACGATAACTTTAATATATATTTGTGCAGGGGCTATGAATAATGCGATTTCCCTTTTCTTTTCTGCTTACATGTAAAGATACTTCGTCATTCCATTCTTGGACTTGCTTTGTATCTAGCTTACTTCTTAAATGAAATATTTGCTAAATAAAACACGTTCAAATCATTAAAACCAACCAAACTACTGTTTTTGATCAATTTGACTCTATTGATTCTCTGAAGATTGGCTGAAATAGTTCTCAGTGTTTTTATATGTGTCAAAAGAAATCTTACATTACTTAAACTAGAGGAAGCTTTAGCGTATGTAGTAATATATTAAGATAAACATTTGAGAAAGTAAATGAGTTAATAAGAGAACTGGGTTCACACACATAGTAACAGTCCAATATAGTTGCGATCTGCAGGCAACATTTTACCTTGTGCGAGTTAGATGCGGTGTTAGATATTTTGATCACCATTAATTAATTTTAATTACAATATCCATAAACGGTTTTTCTATCATGGTCATTAAGCCGAATATATATATGGCCAATACTGATGTCGTGGAATAGCTCTTGAGATAATGTACTCGAACAAGGCTTCAGTTTTTTTTGCGTGATTTTCCAACAGTAATTACATGCTTAACACTTTTTATTTTGGTTATTTCAATAATTACAAAAGCTAAAACCAAATATTTTCATACTTTTTTCTTCCCTCCGCTTTTCTCTCTCCTCAAGCATAACGCAACGTAAAAAGTTTAGAGATTGGCCAAAAAAAAGTACAGGAATTGAGAGGATTGTTCTCATTTTCCAAGGAAAAAACTGACGAACAAAACAGAAACACGGAAAATTCCAAGTGGCAATTTGTATTTTCCCCCTAATTTTAAACAATGTACAGCCTCATTGAAAAATTTTGGGCGCGTTGATATTTAGCCTTCAATTTTCCCTTCATTTGACGGCTTTCCTATCTCCCTCCTAATCTGCCCATGGTGCCTGTTCAATAAGAAAAAAATCAATCCTTATTTCAATTATATGAAAAATTTTATACTGCTGCCAGTTAAAAAAAAGTAGAATTTAATTTTAGATTACTAAAATGGAAATAAAATAAATGTAATTTAACAAACCAATTTGTTGAGTGTTTGTTTAACATTTATAAATATTATTAATATTAATAATTATTAACATTAATATCAATTGTTAAGTTTAAATCAATCCGTTTTTTTTTTTTTGTTGTTGAATAAAATATCCCCTTTTACGGTTTACTTATGTACTAATTAAAAACCTTCTGAGGGCTGAAACCAAATAATGAATTTGATTACATTATTACTCAAATTTGGGTTTCGAAGTCAAAAGAATTATATTTACATGTGTAAGTGTAATCTACGAGTGTAAAAAGCGAGGGGATTTATAAATAAATTGACACAAAATATGCAGTATTCGTCAATGCCATCGTTTCGAACCTTTTGGAAGTCCACCACTGTTGCTTCTTTTAATTCCTGAAACAAGTGAATCACATCTTCATGAGCTGAGAGCTAAGTCGCCAAATGTGAACCATAAAATATATGGAGTATCTACGAAGAAGAGATTCTCAAGTACCGCATAATATTTACGAATATAATAGAATTACCAGGATTTAATCTCAGTAATCTACCATGAATCTGACTATTATAGGTCAAACGCTATATAATACACAACAAGGGCAGAGTATAAACTTCAATTTTTTCTCATACTTGGTGACTTCTTGGCCGTCCCCTTTGTGGTAGTCGGTGAGGGTTGGGTCGTTTTCGGCAAAACTCGAGTAACTTTTGATGCAACCTTTGATCTACACAACATTCAATTTCAAATCTAAGATGTAAGCATAACTATCCAAATTTCACGTTTTGATGTTCATGCATGGACGGACTGCAGATTTTCGAGATTTTTTTTGGGTAAGATTTGTTGTATAGTTTAAAAAGAGGAGAGCAAATTTGGGTCTCATGTACATTTTTCTTATCGTGTCTTCAACTCTGGAGTATGGCACCAGAATTTTATACATCAAGATATCTTGTATTGCTTTTAGCATTCAATATTATGACATATTGATATCTTAGACGTCAAAAATCATGAGATATAGTAATTGACTCGTTGAGCGGTAGACAAAGCAGTACTAAGACAAGAACTACTCACTTCATCGTGCGGAAAGGAGATTTTTTGTTTTCAGCGACAACTTGATTATCAAACTGATCATCGGTGACGGTTCTCCGAAAGCCCCGTTCAGAAAAGTGATCACCTGGTGTTGCCCCATAATCTGCACTACCATGTCGAAAGATCTTTGCCCTTAGAGGACTCTTGTGAGCTGTGTGTACTCCGCCAGTTTTTGGGGATGGCTTTGATCTGCACAATGTGCAATGTGAAAACGAAACTGAACTACCTTTCAAATTCATGGTAAGTATGATGTTCTGCAAGTAGTTTTGCAGTATCAGAAAAACTGCCATACTCACTTCACCATGCGAAGTGGCGATTTTCTGTTTTCAGTGTGAACTTTATTATCAAACAAATCGTCAGCTTCTGTTCCTACAAAGCCCCCGTCGGAAAAATCACTCAGTCTTCCACCATAATCCTCACTTGCATACCGGAAAATCTCTGGCCTATCAGGACTGTTCCCAGCAACTCTGGGAAACTGGAAAAATTCAGTGTCTTGTCTTAGGCCATCCATTGACTGCTGGAAATGAGCTTCTAATTGTGTATTTCTCCCCCCTGATGCTGTATGGTCCCTCTTAGGAGATCTGCTTATGGATTCTCTGCCCTTAAAGGGAGATCCATACCTCAAAAAGGCTCTCTCCGAACAGACATTTCTTACATCTCTAAGTGATTGTAGCTGCTCAATCTCCTCATCTTTTAATGCAATTGTGTTTTTGAGAAAAGCTATCTGCAAATGCATATTGAAACAATGCAAGAAATGGGCTAAGAAATTATTCTTTCTGAGAACATTTGTTGTAGTTGAAATGATAAACTATAAGAGAGAACACATGTCAAGCACCTGCTCCATTAGTTCTCTAACATCTTTGCCATCTCCAGTGCTTCGTGCCTGTCCTAATTCAACTCCAGAGACCCTCTCAGCAAACTTTAATGTACTTAGACTTTCAGAAAATGAATTTACATCCGGATTAAGTTGGACAAACATGAGAGTCTTTGCATGACCGCCTATGCAGTAAAATCCAAGAGATTTCTATGCAGTTCAGCAGAAGCTCAACAGATAATCCTATCAATAACTATAAACCATGGTTTCATGACATACCAAGAGAACTTTGCAGGAGTTGAGTAAGTTTGCTATTTCTATATGGCACATGGGAGCTCTTTTGGGCGAGGGCAAAAATGACATCTCCAAGGGCAGACAATGATTTGTTTATATGCTGCGCTTCCTTAAGCCTATCCCCAGTTGCTTCAGAACGATCTACCCTTTCACTTCCTGCCAAATCTACCAAATGAAGATTACCATGCAGAGAAGAACCAGAGTGTATATCTTTCCCACGAACATGAATTGAGACCACACTGTATATAGAGTTATTGAGTGTCATTACTATAGAAACGAAGTTTCAATATAGAGAGTAAAAGAGAGAAGAAACAAATCATACCTGTGCGAACGACTACTCCTTTCATTCATAGCAGTTGCCCCCATTGCTCTGTTTTTCAGTCCAATGTCCATTAGCATCAAAACATCTGAAGTTGAATTAACACGGAACATGCTGGCATCAGGTACAGCTAAGCCCTTGGGTTGAGGTTGGGTCAATATCCCAAGTGTGTGCAAATCAAGGAAACATAAAATTCTTCATTCAGGTAAAATAAAATTTGAAAGGAAGAGAAAAATGGAACAATCAAACGGAAGAATCAATTGATTAGATCTTGAAAAAGGATATCTTTTTTTAGAAGCATCAGTTGCCAATAAATCGCGCACTTGCTCGTTATATATCTCAACCATTTGAACCCAAACCTCATAGACTATGGAGCCTGTTCTGCTGCTGGAAATGCTAAAGAGGTCATTGAGAGCTCGATAATTAACACCATAAGTCTCTTCTGTTGCTCCATTAGGACCACTCTGAGATAAATTATCTTCTAGGATCAGGAATTTCTTTGATTAGCATGAGGGATGGAAAAAGATTAGCATGTGAAGAGGGTTCATACCATAGTGTAAGTTTTCCCTGAACCTGTCTGGCCATAAGCGAAGATGCATGCATTGTACCCATCAAGTACTGATCGTATGAATGGTTGTATGTCAGAATATACATCCTCTACATCATCAAGAGTAATGACATGAGTAAAGCATCACTATATCAAGACGATAGTCAAACAGTTCATTTATCACCAATTTTGAAGCATAATCTTCACAAAGACGAGTATTTGGGGGGGGGGGGGGACCTTGAGATGTAGTTGGACCAAAGATCTTATTGAAGCTAAATGATCGAAGTGCTTCTTTCCCTTGTTTGGAGCGGTTTGCTACAACCAAATCCTTTTCACTAGTATGTTGTATGATGGATCTCTTTTCCCTTTGTCCAGGAATAAATGGTCTGATTCGACAATATACTCTAATATTACCTGTAACAGGATTAGTTTCATGTGAGTTTATCAGCTCCCAGGTTAATAACCCATTAAACACACACATGTAAAGCACCTTTCAATTCTTGAACTTCATTAAACAGTCTTCGATTTTCGGCAAGAACAACATGATAATTATTAGCTGCATCCACTAGTGGTTTAAGATTTACACCTGAACCATTTGAAAATTAAATGATCAGAGCCTACTAAAAGAAACATGAATGACACTCAAGTAACAACGATTACCTAATTGATTGCTTTCTTCCATGTACATTTTTTGCTCTTTCAAGATATCTTGCACAATGGATTGCCAAGACAATTTTATTTTCTGGATTATTTTGGAGAAAATTCAGCAAAAAATTGTAATATTTGACAGCAAAAAATAGCCAGAGCTTCAGAGTCAAAGCACACCTGCAGGGAACTAAATTGAAAATCGACAGCTTCCTGCAATAGGTTCTTCTCCATGTTCCATTTATGATACTTTGAATCAGAAGAAGTCTCAAGTTCTTTCACCTTATTGAGTAAATCGTTTAATTGAAGTTCGTATTCTTTTGACTTCTGATTCAGTTCTCCTTTGGCACCCTCAGCTTCTGCTTCCAACTGTAAGCATGTGTCTTTTGTTGTTTCTAGCTCTTGCTTCAATGTTGAAAATTTTGTAGTTATGTGGTCCATCTCTTCCTTCAACCTAATCAACTCTTCCTCACTAGCCTTCTTCTCTTCTTCCACTTTGGTCTTCTCAGTCTGTATTGGGCGGCCATATAGACCATAATATAAATAAATATGAAAAGAATCCAACCAAAAGCTTTCATTATATCCTCTCTCTAAAAGTGTGCCAGTATGTATTTAGTTTAAAAAGCAAGTGAGCGTAATACCATTAACTGCTTAAGCTGGCTTGCAACCATCTGTAACGAAAGAATCAATATAATGAATTGAATATCTGCACTAAGGATAAATTTGGTGAAATTTTAAAATAGAACCACCGCTAACTTGATGAATTTCGATCATCATACCTCACTTTCTTCTCTAGTTCCAGATGCAAGTGCCTCAAGAACTCTGATTCTTGATTGATATTTTTCATCACGAACCTTTAAAATATTGTTTTGCTGGAGATACAAGGTAAGGATGTAGTAAGAAGAGACCAAAAGTAACAAGGTTTTGAAAATTTTGTTTTTAATGTACATACTGTTCGTAAATGTTCTGCCTGTATTGATATACGTCGCTCAATTTCCTGGACAATCTTTTTCAGCAAGGGGACCACACGCTGAGCAACAAAGACATAGTTAGACTATGTTTTTGAAACCTTATACATTCTACATGTGCTAGCCATTGTCATAGAATACAATTGGAAGCTTATAAATCCATTAAAGCATAAATGCACATAGCACTGAAGCCATACGTAAGGTATTTCACCGTTTCTTCTTTCAGCACTTTCATCTAGAATACCATTCATGAAAGTTAGAATATACTGAGTGGAAGCATTCTGCAAAATTAGATGTAGAAACAAATCATTAATACATTAAGCACGAAAGCATGTGGATCAGAAACATTTAATTCTGATTGCAAGAGGAAGAGAGGTCTCGCCTCTATACTGTTTGATTTCATTATCTCCGAAACTTTTGAGGAAGGCATATCTACCAAGCTTCCATTTTTCAGTTGAAACATCTCATGGAACTTATGCCCTGCGTGATGCGATTCATGGAGTTTATGCACAACATGCTGTGTTAGTGCCCCTGACGACTCTGGCATAGGGTAAAAGCAATTGCCAATACCTTAAAGACAAAAACCAGCAGGTGATTATTTAATTGAACCAAAGGTTATAAGTTTCAGTTTAGGGCGGTCGTATGAATGTGCTTGACACAGGAAAAGAGTCTTCTTTCCTTTCTCTTTTCTTTCATTTTGCACACAAAAGACTGGCTTGTCTAAATATACTTACATGACCCATACACCATACTGGTACTAGCAAAGTTTGAAACACAAACTTTTGCTCTTTGCCCTCCAATATATGAGATTTAAGTATGAGTTGTTGTGTTGTTGACAGGTTGAAACTATGGCTCAAAATGGCATACCTGCACTACGCAGTACACGTTGTAACTTTGACTTTGACTCAGATGAAAATCTTTTATTCTCTTCTCCTGATGTTGGAGAACTACGAGATGCATGTCCACGGGAACCCTCTGATTTGAAACTTAGTACTGAAATGTTATCATCTCCCGAAGAGCTATGCAAACTTCTAAGTTTTATAAGGCAGTCCACAACATGATTCAAAGATCCCTACATGATACAATAGACAATTCCATAATCAAAATCCAATCAAGTAGTTTGAACAAGAATGATAAGAGACTCAAATGATTCAGCAAAATTAGTAGTATGCATACAATTCGATCCTAATATTTGAATTCATGACAAAATGAGAGGTCTGCTGCATACCTTCTCTAGTTCTGTTGCACCAAACTGAGGCAACCCAAGACTGTCTATAGCTGCCAGAAACCTTTTGATATTTTCCGAGTTTGATTGTGAAGACTGATCACCATCACTAACCTAAAAGAAGGAATTGAGATTGAGCCAACTTATCCAAAATCAAGTTGATAAATCAAATTTCAAGGGATTAAAAAGGTCCATCACCACATTCACAGAGCCAGGCGATAACTTGTTTAATATCTGACATAGAACTGTGCCATCACTCAAGCATTCTCTTAACTCATCGTCCCTAATATTCTTTGGCAAGTTTAATGAAGGAAAAAGACTATTTAGCCATTTGACCAGGATCGCTCGATGTTTGGCTGAAAATTTTTCAATCAAAACAAGCTTAATTATATTAGGTAATGAATAAAGGTAACATGCATATAATTACTAAGAGGGTAAAGACTACATACCTTCAATCTCACCGTGACTGGTCACTATTGAATGCCCAAAATTAGTTCCATTGGAAACGGCACTTAAATTGTCTACTTCTCTGAGGTCTACACCGCAGCTACCAGATTGTGTATTCATTCCTAGGTTCCTGGAGTGACACGAGAATTCAGATGATTATGAAGACATGCTTTAAAGAATTCTCATTTATAACCCGGAGGGGAAAATCCTGAAAGACTGAAGAAATATGTTCCTCCCATGGACCAATATGTTTTACCTGGAAGGGAGGAAACCGCCTGAAAAAATATTACTCCTGATTCAGTGCATACGCAGTTGCACCTGCACCAAATTAATTGACTGGTCAAAGAAAACTAGAAGAGAAAGAATCTCAGGATATAAACATGTACGACTACAATCCGGAAGGAAATAAGAGAGGCCATGGTATACACATTTCAGAAGCTTGGAGTCGACGTTTCTAATGCGTAAACCAACAGCAGCACGGTTGAAACATGGCTTCTATTCCATAGAAAGAAACAATGCAACATCATCTAATGCGAACTTGAGTTAAAATTATATGTCTAATCCAAAAACCCGTAACCCACGTGAGCAATTGCATTACAAGTTGAAAATAGTTTCATGTCATTTGGAAACATCAGAAAAATTAATTACCAAAGGAGAAACATGGTGGAAAAGAGAATGAAACCCAGAAATTGAGATTTAAGAAAGAGAAAAATCATGAATGTGAGGAAGTACCAGACCAGGACAATTGCATCCTGATGATGATGCAGCTTGGCGTTAACACTGAATCAATCTGGGAACTCAGAGAAAAACGGCCATTGCAAAAAGAAATTTCCGAGTACAGCTGAGGTTTGGGAGAATGATGAAGATCAGGGACAGAACGACCCGATAAAGCAGGAGTGCAATACTCTCTGCGTCACATTATTGTTGAAGTGCCATTGACAGACCCCATCCTCACCAGTAAAACCAATCTTGAATTCGATTTGGGTGGCATTCTCCTCGTGCTAGAGAGCAGAGACCACAACACGTGCATTTTAGTTATATGTAGTGCTTCTTCATTTAAATTTAAACTTCTAAAACCTGACGTGACTGTTGATTAATTCAGCTGCCTATCTGAATTTTTATTTGTATTTTGTCCATCTAACTGTTTGAATTTTTATATTGATGAGTCAAAAATTGATTATTGTTCTAATAAAAAGTCAATAATATACCTTATAAATAGAATCAAAAATTTCATTGGGAGAATAATAAATAAAGACCTTGAAATAACATTAATATCAAATCAAGACTTTTAATACTAAAATAGGAGAGAAGAAGTATTAAAATTTGAAAACGTCAATGTTAAAAAAATTTAATTTGATGTTAATTTTTTTATAGAGTCCTTGCTTATCATTCTTCCAATTTGATTTCTATACTTTATAAATAAAATCAAAAAGAATAGATTAGTTGATGGAAATTAGTAAGGCAGCTTACCAATAGTGTAGTATGATGCTTAACTTAATTATATGAGTACTTGGATTTAAATTATCATAATATAACCAATATATATATATAGTCATTAGAACAGGAAAATGCGTGTAATAGATTTGTTTGTAGAAAATAATTTTTTTCCATAAAGTATGTGTATGAAATTTGCACATTGACTATATTCTCTAATGTCAGTAGATGCAGATGCTAAGATATGTAGATTGGTTGCAACACCACACCAATCACCAATGTTTATTTATTACAACATCAATTAATTTGTATAAAGTTAAATTTGTTAAAACTTTATTTATATTTGATTAAAATTCAAAATGCAGAGTGAAGAGAACGGTTCCGGGACAAAGGAAGTGAAATAACATTATCAATATAACATAAAATTTATTGAGAGTTGCCAATTCTATTTCAGTAGAGTGACTTTTTCTTGATTTAAGTTCTATTTAAAAATTCACGTTATACACAAACTATAAACAATGTAATTCCAAGTAAAAAATGCAATTCATATATTTTTTGAAAAATGTGTAATATACAAAAAAAAATCATGTGTAGTTTTCAGATTTTATATTTGATTTTATTGTGACGTGGAATTTTATGTGGCACACTACTGGAGAACTTGTGATTATGCACAAAAATAAACAAGCAGTTGCTAATATACAATATTACAAAATAAGTACACCTATTTTAAGTTCGGTGGATAGTCATGTAAAAAAATTTAAGTTTGAAGCGGAAATAAAAAAAATTATTTAAAAAAGGCACGTCCCACTTCTCTCACTTTTTAATAATTCCATCCAAAGAAATAAGCAATCAAAAGGAGTCAAATAAAATAAGTGGTTGGGTTAGGAGCAAAGATAAAGTGCGCCAACCAGAATTATAAATAAGTACACTATGACATACAATATTAAAAATTTATTCAACCTCACTTATGGCATTGTGTGTCGATAAAGTCAAATTAGACAAAAAAAAAAAACAATAGAACTTAAAAAAAAAAAAACCATATACTCATTTCAATCCATAATATGATATTTTCTCTGTGTGCTACTAGGTTGAGATTATAGTATTTGTTGAACCAGAGACTGGTTACTAATATCATCTGTCATAGAATGAGAGAAAAAAGTGAAAATAAATCACAGAGTATATTGTAAGATACAGGGGATTCAATTCGTGAAAGCCAGGATTACAAAATATTGCAGATTGGTCATTGGAGAAGTACGATGATGGAGAATAAAAATGGGGAGCATGCATGAGCACCGTACTAGAATCCATCTCCACAGTATAAAATGGCTTCTACGCGTACGTGCGTGTGTGGATTTTGGAATTCGTGAATCGGTAATGTATTCAGAAGGCTGGGACAGGACAGGGTGGAAACACACAAAATAATATAAAATTGAAAAGAAAGAGAGTGCAAATAATTAAAAAAATACTATAATTATTAATTTTTAGTTATTTATCGCAGTGAAATTTTTACTTTTTTTTAAAAAATTAATATATATATATATATATATATATATAAGACAAGTCACTAAAAAAATAGATATAATAATTATGACTTATGGCGATATTTCATCTTTACTTGGATATTTCAGGTATTTTTTGTGATTTGAGAAAAAAACAAAGAAACGTGGGCGGAAGGAAGACTCCCAATTGCGAGCCTCCACGGTTTTTGGAAATCAGGAAACAAAACCACTGGCTTTACCTCCCGAGGGCGCCCACGGTCCTCCGCGCCCCCTTTCCAATACCGCTGTACGGTATCTCTCTGTTTCCACATTACCCGGAATTCCACTCCCACGCGCTTTTACCTTCACGCCCCAATTCTCTGAGGCCGTTCCTGCCACTCGCGCGTGGGCTTAATCCCTTGTCTCTTCCCGCCACAACCCCGTGCGGCGATTCCTCTGCACCTTCTACCTCCTTCCCTCCTGCTCTGTTTTTGCTCCCTCCTTTTATTCCCCCTCCCTTCCCTTCTTTATTACTATCTTGCCATTTCTTAAAACAAAAATCTCCTCGCTTTTGAAAAAAATTTCTTTTTCTTTTTTTGAAAACAAAACTAAAAAACTAAAGCTAATCTGATTTGATTTCTCTTACGCAAAACTCTAGCCAATGTTATTAATGGACTTATGTCCCCTTTACTAGAATGAAATGAAATTTATTAAAAAAATAATATAAAATAAATTAAATTATTTTTTTATAAAAAAATATAATAAAATTTATTAATATATATTATAAATGTGATAATTATTATACCTTTAAAAATTTTATAAATTATGATTCTCAATTTTATAAATTAAATTATCTCTCTTTTTATAAATGTGTTTACCTATTTTTTTGAATTATTTTATTTTTTTAACTCATTCTTTTCTAATAATGAAATGAGACATTAATTCTCCCAATTTGTTTGATGTGTTCCACTCTAAGCTAATGAATACTCCATCCATTATAAAATATAAATAATTTTTAACAATAACTTAGATATCAATAAATTTTTTATTCTTATAAAAACATATATGATTCTCTCTCGATCTCTTTTTCTTATCCACAATCCCAATTTATAATGGTCGAGAAAAGGATCATAAATTCATAGCAAATAAATTATTTATATTTTGAATCAAAATTAATTGGTAACAATTATTTATTTTGAACCGAAAGTAGTATACTTTAGCTCACAACTTATATTATAGTTATTTTTTAAGCTGTTTATCCGTTCTTGCAAACTACTTGAACTTATCATTATACTACATTTTAGCCCACAATTTGGTGCATAACGTTTATTTAAATAAAAAACCTAAGTATTTAAACTACTCCTCTCATTTAATAAAATATTTTTAAAGATAATTTGATGTCCCAAAGTATAATATGATTAAAAAATAAGATTTTATTAGTGATTATTATTCTAAAATTATCCTCTCATTATTGTATCCCTTAAATAAACTTTTCTACTCTCTCATTAATGAAAGGTGTCTCTAGAAGTTTATAAAAAATTAATATTATAAATTATATTTAATGAACTTGATTAATTTGTACTCTCTCCATTAATAAATATAAGATATTTAATTTTTTAATGTATAATTATTGTCTTTTTTTACAAATACCCCTATTGATAGTAATTTATTTTATTATAGGATATTTAATAAGAATAAATACAAAAAAAATATAATTAATTTAAAAATAAGTAATTACTTTATTAAGAGTGAGATTTAATTAAAAATATTTTAAGTATAATTTTATTAAAAAAATACTTTAGAAATTAAGACAAAAAAAGAGTGTACTTTTTATTTTAATAAAAATGTTGTCCTCATCACAAGAAGTTTGTGTCAACCGGTCAAAAAGTGGATTCGTTGGCATGAGTTGCGAACATAAATTTTTTATAACTAGATATCAAACACTGTACTTTTTTAATATATCACTTCCTCCCTTCTCAACTATAAAATATTTTTTTAACATTTTAAAATATAAAAAGATTTTAATAAAAATATTATTTTATTAATAATATTTTTTAATATTCACCCAATCAATTCTCTTTTTAATAATTTTTTTATAAATAAAGTATTAAATGAATAATACTTTTTAAAATTATATTTTTATCCTAAAAATGAATATTATAAAATATATTTAATAAATTTTATGATTTTATTTAAAAATATTTTAGGGTGGAAGGAATATTTATTGATTGGAAATGTAAAATGGAAAAAAAATAGGAATAATAATAAGTGGAGAAAAAGAAAGAAACGGGGGACGAAAACGGATGAGGATAAAATGGAGATTTGAAGAAACATGTGATTCAGTTTCAGCGTCCCCCAGGGGAAGACGCCTCAAAACCAGATTGGCAAAACAGCCTTTGTGCGGGAAACCACTGCGCTATCCATCTCTAATACAAACCCACGGCATTGCCTCTCTTTATAAACCCTTCCTCGTCTTTGAACTCTCCTACTCTGCGTGCTTTCTCATTTTCCCTCATTTTCTCGACTCCCAAACGCATTCCGCCCACCCGACTCTTCTTCTCATCATGCGCCTCAGCTGCAATGGTTGCCGAGTGCTCCGCAAAGGTTGCACCGCTGATTGCCCCATTCGTCCCTGCCTCCTCTGGATTCCCTCTCCTCAATCGCAATCTAACGCCACCCTCTTCCTCGCCAAGTTCTACGGCCGCGCCGGCCTCATCAACCTCGTTCATGCCGGTGCTCCCCATCTTCGCCCAGGTAATTCACCCTTCCACCTCTTGTTTGTTTTCTCAGGAAGCATCCACTGATTTGTAGTTTTTTGAGTCCTGACTCTGCTTCTGTCTATCTTCTTCCAGCGATTTTTAAGTCCTTGCTCTACGAAGCTTGTGGTCGGATTGTGAATCCCATTTTCGGCTCCGCCGGCTTACTCTCTTCCGGAAGCTGGAACCTCTGTCAAGCCGCCGTCGAGGCTGTCCTAAGAGGCGAGCCGATCACGCAGGTTTCGCCCGAATCGGCTTTCGACGGCGTCAGCCCGCTCCTGAAGTTGTGCGATATTCGGCATGTGGGCAAGAAGGGAAATTCGTGCGCCTCGGATAAGTTACACAAGGTGAGGAGTGGGAGCCAGTTTAAACGCTCCGGCGCGAAGCGGAAGAAGCCGGAAGTGGAGCCGGCTGGAGCTGAGCTGATGGCTCGTTCGGGGAGCGAGTTGAATGGTTCGGGGGTGAGCGAGCACAGAAGTGGAAGTCCTGGCGGTGAAGCTGATAGCAGCACCGTCGAGATGACAGAAGGTTGGCCGGAACCGGCGAAGAACGACGAGAGAAGCGAAGCTGAAGCGGAGAATGGGGAGTTAGAGCTGGAGTTGACCATGTGGTGGGGTCAACAAGCTAAGGGTCATACAGATATCAATGGTTCTGATGCGAACACGTGTAAATTAACACTGGGCTCTGATCATTCTGTTTAGGAATATGATCAGCTGTTGCCAAATCCACGTACAAATGTAGACCGCCAAATGGGCCCAAGCGGGAAAGAAATACAGAAAGGGACAGGACCACAATACAGAATAGCGTTTTGTTGTAGATGATGAATTACCATTTTCCTATAGAGATTGAACAAGTATACATTTTTTTTAGATACGTTAGAACTAAATTATTTTATCTGATTCTCGTTATTTGATGTTTTATTTACTTTAATTTTATAAAAAATGTTATTTATCAATATGTTAAGAAGAAATATTTGAATCTCATCAATTTTGTAAGTATCGTGCCAAATCTCACCTATCAAATTGTTTTTTCAAAAAGTATGAGACATTTAAGTCATACAAGTAATATGGTTTAGTAATATGAAGAAGCTGTGAATGGTGATTAGATTGATGACAACATAAAATCTTGAATCTTCAATAGTGATTTGATTGATAATAAAGAAAGAGAATTTTTGGTTTAATTCTCTACATAAACGACAGAAAAGAAGATTGTTCAAATTCTATGGCTTATAATGATCATTTATTAAAGGATTTACTCGCGATAATATAAAGCTACACAGTAGCAAATAAAAATTGGTTGTTGGATTATAGATAGTCCTATAAGTATCTTGCTGGCATATCTGGTTAGTCTAAAGGTGTCTTTGGTTGATGTTAAAAATTACCGGAATCACAAGTCACAGGTACTCAAAGGTCATTAGCCTACAACATCAGAAGCCAGTTGAAGATTGGAAGTAATCAGGGGCTATTCTTCTTGTTCAGGCTTTTTTAAAAAAAAAAAAAATAATAAAGAAGGCCATGGTCAAAATTGTGCAAAATAGTCAAGCTTATTCCAACTAATGAGCGCACCCAAGTTTCTTAGTCCATCAAAATGTCATTCACCGAAATTTTCCATTCTTTCTACCAAAGCAATATGTGGAAGTACTGCTCATAATAGCTCTCGTGAGTCGTGACATGTCCAAATTGGCAAATTCACGGGGTCAGTCCCAATAATCAAAAGCAGTCAAATAAATTGAGATACTTAAATGAGGGGGCAAATAAATTCGGGTTCGGATCCGGTACCCAATAAATTCTCAAACGATGGGGACACGAACTACGGTTGGAAAACATTGCGCAAATAGTACGCAAGGTGCTTAAAAAGTTATGTCTAACCATGGCCTCCGTACTTTGGACTTGAAATTGTGACGTTAAATCCATTACAGACTAGAACGAAGCCTGGCTCAATGACTTAAGTCCAAGCTCCACTTCGCGGACACAGTCAGTTAATCTCAAAAACAAATAAAGAACAAAAACTCCTCAACGTGGGAATTGGGGGTAAAAAAACTCAAGCGTGGGTTTTCCACAGGCTTTCTGAAGCCTCAAATTCTTTTCGGTGTTCGTTATGGAGCTTGAAGCTCTTTAAGGGGAATTCATATTTGGTTACGCGGATTGCTCGTTTGTTGCGTTAGTTTGGTCTTGTTATGTTGGAGTTGTCTTTATTCTTTTTGACAATCAAATTACCATCTGATCGAACATTTCTGATTGTTGAGAAATCAAGGGTGAAAAGTTGAATTTAGTTGGCGAATTATTACACTGGAAATTAAACTAGCGAGGGAGATGATTTTACATTATATAAGTTGCGTATTTCCTACCTCAGTGCTTTTCGTCATGTCGAAGTTTGCTAATCGCCCAGTCACTCCATTTAACGTGTTAGGATATGGATACAGTTGAGGAATGGAGATCGATTGACGCGGAAGCAGAATTTTAGCATCCCACGTCCTTTCTTGATTTACGATGTTGAATTTGATCATTTAGTCTTTGATTTTCTCTAGATTTCACTTGCTTGTTGAAGAAACGATTACATGAAGCTAAAAATCTTCATCTCAGTCATTGTTTTTTGTCTGAATTCTCTTGTTTGTTTGAGCATCTTTTTTATCCCCCAATGATCTACATACTAACCATCTGATTGAAGTCCTTAGCGAATGGCGAATGAATGATTTTGTGAAGCTCTAACTCATGAGTGGCATCACTAGATCCTCGAGTATTCTCAGCTAAGATTTGGAATAAAAAATAATGGATCATATTTTCCTTTTGTTCATTTTCGTGTGCCTATTTGTGCTTGAAGCAAATTAAGCTCTCTCCATACTATGCAGTTACTGGTGCTAATGCCTTTGCATATGGAACTTTGTTATTTCGAAATTCTTTCGATGTTATCCACTATAACCATTTGGATCCTCATTGTCTTCTCTGTCCTTCGGTGCATTAATAACTTCCTGCATCTTATGTAATGTAATTTGCTGAATCAGGATCTGAGCCTGAAATGGTTGAGTCCGAAACACCAAATAATCATTCCATGATCAAACAAAAGGTAGTTTCAAACTATAAACCTCCATCAATATAAATATATAATTGCATGGCTGAACTGGTATATTTCAGTTTTATCCTTTTCCTTCCTTCCTCTAGTTTTCTCTTTGTGGATAGATTTTCACTTCACTCTTAGCTTCCTCTACTCGATTGATTTAAGAACAATGGAGGAAAAGAAAAACTGTGTTTCAGTCGGTACTGCTATTTTTACATATTTCATCTGGATAATGCAATCATTACATTCTTCGTCTAGGTTCACAAATTGCTCGAGTTTCTGTAGTGATCTGGTATAAAATGCTTCCCTTGGTTTGTCCATGGAGTCATCATTTTGACAACAAATTCCTTTAAAGCGTGAAGATACTTAAAGGGAGAGAAATATGTATGGATATCATTCTTTATTGCTTAAATGAAGGCAACCTTACTGCCAAAGCAACGTAAAAGTTAAATCGATTCTATGAGATTTTGAAGGAAAGAAATGCATCTTGCTGACAGCATATATCAAACAGTGGGCTAAAATTGAGCTGGACGAGCACTCGAAGATGAAAGGCCTGTCTTGGCTTGATCTCTGTATATTGGTGTGACGGACAATACTTTCAACTTGCAGTTTAGTTGTGCTATGGTTAATTTGCCTTACTAAAATCCTGTCTGTTATTTGCTAATGTGCAGATTATTATAAGCGCCTGTCTTGTAGACATCCCTAGCAGTTCTTCGTGACTACACATTAACAAAGTTATTGCCTATGGCAAAGGCCAGCAGAAAGAGGAATACCCATGAATCTTACATCTTGTAGTTTACAAGATCCGGAAATATTCATTTTTAATCAATAAAATATAATCTGAGCTTTTGTGTTTCTCATACATATTACAGGCGGGTTGGGAGGACAAGAAAAGAGTAGAATGATTCCCCGTAGTCTCTCCTGACTTAGCCAGCAAGTTACCGGTGCAAGGAATGCTGTGTTCCGCTCTCTTCTGGATGCAGCATCTGTAGCTAGCACTGTTACTTCTACTGCACAAAAGCTTGGAAAGCTGAAAACACAAGACAGGTAAGATCAAGAAGAAACTAGTAGTAGAGAAGAAGAATGAGAAGGAAACCAGCCTGTTCAAAACTTCTGAGATAAAAGAGACAGAAGAGAGTAACTAAGTCACACTATAAATGAGATAAAATTAAGATAAAGACGGCAAAAACAAATGAAAGAATAGAGAAGGAAGTGAAGGTAGCAGGAGGAGCTCCCTTCAGTCCAATGGGTGGGCTAAGCAGGCAGATGGGGTTGCCCCCATAGCATGCACTTGGCCAAACTTAACATTGGTTCTGTGATAACATTAAGAGTAGCCGAATGCATGAGATGGCAGCTCTAGCCACCCCTCAGCCCTTCGTATTGGACAGAAAGGAGCTCCCTTTGCCCCTACGCTTCTGTGTCTTACCCATTTATATAGACATATATATATATATATATATATATCTGTATGCATCTCCTCCTTCATTCCTCTTAAGTTCGTTTGACATGGACTATGTAAAACGAAGCTGCTGTAAAATTGTCCCTCCCTTCACCCTCCTTATATACAAATAGTCCCTCTTAGTCTTGGATCCTTTTTTTAAGCAATGTCAAGGACCCCTCCATTTATTGTTATCTCTCAAGTGGGAGCTTTTGTCTTCTTCGATGCTTGTCATTTATTCTATTATCATTAACATCTTAATCAGTTATGACCGACAAACTATCCTTAATCCATCTTTACTTAATAAATGTTATCTTTTTTCTTTCATGAAACCATGTTATGAAGATTGTTGCGTCATCAACGAGCCAAGTGATGGGAAATGGTCCCTCTCCAGTCTTCTGTCATGAAGAGGATAAGAGAATTGCATGTTCCCCACTTTAAGTGATGGGCCACTTAGGTAAGTCTCAACTATCCCCCCTCCTTCCTAGGTTGATTCTTAATTTACCTACTTGTTAACTGACAGAATTCTAACACCAAGTAATGATATGTAACTCAGAATCCTCAATCCTGAATAGGTGTCACAATATCTTTAATTTCTTTCGATTTTTTGTGTTAATCAGCTTACCGATTCATTTTAAACCACCGAGAAAATAAAATCTTAAAGACATTCTTACAATTGTTAAAGAAGGAAAAAACTCATTTGGAAGATATTTTCAACTTGTCAAAAGTGCTCTTCAACACCTCTTGTATCAAATCATGGATTTGAATTTGATGAATTGAAAAAAAAAGAAGAAGGCATTAGAATAATGACTCCTATTTGAGCCAGACAAACCTTGCTATTGAATTCTATTAATCTTAGTAATCTCAAACACTCAGTCAAAACTTGTTGACCCAAAAAATATAAATTAAAATCAAATGATTCGCTCCCAAACAAAGTGCTTTTATGTTGAAACTTGAAACAGCATAGTCTTCAATCCCAGACAATCTGAATACTGCAGCAACAGCACCAAAGTGGTGTTAGTTGAGGTCATGCAGACTGAAAAGAAACCTAGCTTCCCATGAGCTCATATATGCACTGTGAAAAGAAAACTGAAAACCATTGTCCCTTTCTTTTGACGTTCTCAAGATTGTGACTCCCTTTTTTTCTCGACTTCAACTATTAAACGACAAGTAAACAGTTAAAAGACCTGCATGCCCATTCCCCTGTTTGTCATCCATTATTAACTGGTGTTTAAAGCAAGGATCCTGCACCCAAACCAGAAATCAGCAATGACTCTTCCTCAAGTAATAAAAGCCTTTCCATCCAATTCCAAAGCTAGTGGATTTGACAAGACCATGTATTCTTTGTGACATTACTATGTTGTTGAGTTCCGAGGAACATCTACAGTATTTAAGGTGAATGGATTCGGATTCCCATTCAGCTACAAGGAAACTTTCTTTCTCAGAGAGTTACACACTTTCTTTCATTCAAATGTGTAGATTTGGTTTTGGTTCCTTTTGTTTTGTAGCGGAATTAATGAACATTCAATGGCCTCTGCAGAATGCACAGCTGAGAACTTTGTTCTCTACTTCCTTTGTAATTTAGCTGGAAACGATAACTACTTTTGGGTGACAGAGACAGATATAAACAGATTCTTACCCCAAGCGAGTGGTAAAGAAAAGATAAGAACAATATCTCTCTCAAAACTTATGTCATGATGAATAAAAATTATTCAGAGATTATAAATAACTATCTTGCTGCCATTGATTGGTAAGTGGCTAGCTGAGACATAATTTACTGTGTTTTATTTCTAATAAATAACTGTTGTTAAATAGTTGTCGTTACCGTGATGTGCTGATAACTGACTTGTAATGAATACATCGATTATTTATCCATTAAATATATAGAATATGCGATTATTCCTAGTCACACTCATTAATCATTCCTCATTTCATCTCAAAAATAAATAACAAACAATTCCTCAAAGTAATGAGTCGTTGAATTGTATATAATAAAAACAAATTCAACTGAGGTGCCAGCAAATATATTTTTGTCAAATATGTATTACTCTTGCACAGTACCACAATTTTTTACAAACTTGTGTGTAATCATATTTTAAGAAGCTCAGTAATGAAATGGTGGAACAAGACCTTTCAATTAATGATAATACATTAAAAGATTTGGTTATTGATAAATCATAATAACATCGTGCAATTTATATAGCCACCTATTCATGAGAATAAAACTTTTTTCATCATATTTAAAAAAATAGCTTTCATTTAAAATTTATAATGCAAATAATAATACTGACAACTCGAGGCTAGATCAAATGATAGCAGTGAAGAGAGGTAGGATGTTGGTAAAATTTCAGGTTCCTTGGCATAACATAAGAAATAGAGTACCTGATGAAAAATAAAATTAAAAAAAATTAATTTTTTAGTCCGTTAATTTTTAACTAACTTACTGTTCAATTCTTTAACTATGACTCATTATAATTTAGTCTCTTAACTTTTGACTCATCTTTCAATTTTTGTTTGCTCTCTTAGATCTCACATCAAAGAGTAGGAGAAGGATATTTTAAAACAAGATGTAAGTATTTCTTTTATCCCTCTTATTTGAAAAATTAAAAATTGAGCTGAATGATTGAATTATAAGTAAGTTAAAAGTTGAAGGATTAAATTACAGTAAGTTATAGTTGAATGATTGCATTATAAGTAAGTTAAAAGTTGAAGGATTAAATAATTAATTTTTTTAAAATTAATTTGTAAGACAAGATAAGACTCATTGATTAGATGAGTTCATCTGCTTGGTCAGCAAGATTTGGGCTTCTAACTGAGCTCGCCAGCTTGAAGCTCACCTTGAATAACCCAACCCACTGCCAGCCAAGGTCCAAGTTGGTTGAGCTGTACTTCGTTTCTTTCAAATAATGGCTTTCTTTGATACCAAACATAGTTTATTTCAATTTTCTTGATGGCCAAAGGGGGATTTTAATGATGTGCTGTCGTATAATTTTGAGAACTAGGGAAGCAGAATTAGACGACCTTGGCACAGTTTCTTGGGTTTTCAAAATTTCATGTTTTAATGTATCATATTTTGAATTTAAAATTTAACGGCTCTTATTTCGCATGGTCTAATAAAAAAAAAAGTTGGGGGTTAGCATATGGATTGATAGAGTTACTGTTAGTGTATTTAATTAATACTTCTGCGAAGAAGGATTATTAGCACTTTAATCCTCAAATCACATGACTTTGACCTCTACTACTTCCTGCTATTATTATTACATAATCATTAATCATTTTTTTTTAAAAAAAAGCACAACACTGTACTGGTAAGAAGATAGATTGGTCTAAAAAACTGCAATTTTTAATTTTTAAGTATCATAACATTGAATTCAATTCACAGTTATTTAATCTTTCTGCTTTAATTTGAATTGCAGTTAAAAATGTCAGGGCAATGATATGGCGTGTTTGGTTCAGCATCAGCTTCAATGTTCCTTTGATGGGTATGAATGGAGGAGAGGGGATGAGTTGGTAATCTTCTTTTTGATTTAGAAGGTGAGGGGAAGGTATATAATAACTAATTTATCATTGAAGTCTTATATGTTACATCATTTTTAAATTTTTTCTTGTAAAATTAATTTTACACCTTAATCTAAATTGTATAATATATGTTTTCAATCCCAATATATGGTAAAATATAAGTATTAAAACTATTAATCCAATCTCGACGGTACATCATTTTTTAGAACTCCCCCGTTATATTATTGAACTTCGTTTTATTTTATTTTTAAATTTCCTTAAATATTTTAAAAACTCATTCAGATAATGAAATATAATGTCTAAGGATAAAACTAGATCTTCATTCTTCAATAGATGAGATTTTGATGGGTGAGCAAGTGGATAATTTCCATTGCATGTTTAGCCATGCTCATGCCTGAGCTGGATTGAGCTATCCTAAAATCTGAAAAAAAAAAAGAAAAAAGATTCAAACATAGGTGAATGGATCAGACATAAGGAGCAAAAGGAGTTAAGTCTAACTAAAAAAGTTAATCTTTCATGATAAATTAAAGTTTAAATTCTTATTGAAAGAGGTGTTATAAACAATCAAAAGGCTGCACGAAAAGAAACTTTTAGAGTGAAATGGTTGTCAGTTTTTTTTTTTTTTGTATGTTGAGTATTTTTGGAATATTATAAAATTATAGATGACAACTCGGTCACAAAATTTTCCTCCGGTTTTTCTTTTTTTAAAGGAAATTGGAGGGGAGGTAAAAAGGAAATTTGGGACCCAACTTTCTCAACCAAACAAGCAGAGTCCGTTGAAAATTAATACGCAAAAACAAAGTAAATAGAAGCCATCCTTGTCAAATGCCCAATTTAAGTGGTCCAGAGCAAGGAAGCAAGAAGGAGCAGGAAGTGGCTTGTAATTTATTTAAATTTTAAGTAGCATACAATTTTAAAGTTGAGATGAGGGTTTAAATAATGTATAGAGTAATTTGTAAAAAAAAAAAAAGGAAGATCTTACGATGGACCATTTGTGACACACAGTGACATGACAGTGGCCCTTCCATTGGAACAACAGAGAGTCAAATTTTGAGGGATAGGACCACCCTCACCATTTCCGAATCGGAGCGCTACCTCTTGTGACGTGGCATTCGCATAATGGAAAGTTAGAAACTGCCATTTCCCCTAATAACGACGATACTCTGCGTTGCCTCTTCCCTTCACTTAGAAGACATCAATATGTTGTAAGTTGTTTTTTTGTTTCGTACTATAAAAAATAAAAATAAGCTTCATAAAGCTTTGTACCGCATTCTATCCATGTTATAAAGGACTATTAACTATTTCAATGGGTCATAAAATTAAATTTACAACATGAATAATATTAAAAAATTATTAGAAATAACTTTTCATTTTTTTTGGCCTGAAATTAACTTTTCATATACTTTATAGTAAGTACAAAAAAAATCCTTTTAAAAGGAGTATTTTTTAATAGATAAATAAATAATAAAAATAAATTTTAATAATATTTGTTAAATACATATCTTTTCAATTTTTCCTCTTATGTTTATCAAACATAATTTTGGTCTTGAATTTAAACCCTAATCTTCTCTAGCTCTCACATTTTATATATTTTTTAAATTAAAAATTAATCTTTTAATCCTTTAATTTTTAATTTACTTATAATTCAGTCTCTCAACTATAACATACTGTAATTCAATCCCTCAATTATGACTCACTGTAACTAATTCTCTTAACTTTTAACTTACTTATAACTCTTTCCTTACTTTTCAATTTTTTTAAAAAAATTATCCCAATCAAATAAGACGGATAATAGAAATTCTCACACTTTTCTTTAAAATACCTTCATCTTGCTATTTGATGTGGGATCTAAACTAACATGAAAAAAACTAACAAAAGTAGAGAGATTGGATCATAAACAAGTCGAGACTAAATCATAATGAGTCATAATTGAAGAACTGAGTTATAAATGAGATAAAAGTTAAAAGATTAAAATATTAATTTTCCACCTTTTAGATTACCTTACTAATTAATTGCACGCTTTTCTCACTCTCTTTAACATTCCCTCTCTTTGGGAGGGATTTTTTTTTTTTTGGGTAAAATTTTGGGAGGGAATGAGGGATGTTTTAGCAAGAGTAACACAAATTTTTTTCCTTTTGATGAATAATGATAAATAACAACCTTAATTCATTTCTTTAATATGTGTAAATTAGTTAACTAGATCTTATCTTTACAACTAAATGGAGTAATACTCTCCCTAAAACATCAGTTAACGCACCAAAACAATGTATAGTTAAATTATTAATATTGCCTGATATGAAAGAAATTTTTTAATTTACCTTCATTAAATTTATTTTTTTAAAAAATAATTTCTTTCTTATATATAACATTTTACTCTACTCATAAAAAAATTTCTGTAGTATAAAATTGAAAGAAAATAATTAATGATTCATATTTTTATATAGAAACTGAATAAAGGGGACCCTGATGAATCTCTCCTCAAAGATAGCTTCTATAATTAAAACAATGTTGTTAACGCACCAGGCATAGCTTTCTTTTTGTTTCTTATTATAACTTGAATTAAAACAAGTATTTCAAAATTACCCTGTACTTAAAAAGGACTACTATAAGAGTGATCATGAACGATGGGATCAGGACATTCTGAAGTATGATATACATGACATCCATTACATTAAGGAAGAATGATAGAGAAATCTCTAAAGAATTAATTAATTTAACTTAGATCTTAAATGTAAAACTTCAGGAATTTGCAAGTTTAGCACTTAATTTTACAACTTTATTATGATAAATTTGTACTTGTTTTTTAAATTTTAACATAGTTGAAGAATAAATAAATTTTTTCTTATTAAAATTTGAAACATAAGTTGCAAATTCATTACAATAAAATTATAAAATTGAAAGTTGAATTTGTAAATTCTTGATATTTAACACTTGAAATCTAAGTTGAATTAATTGATTTCTTTGAGACCTACTGTTATTCTCTCTTAAATTAAGGCCAAATATAAGAGTAAGTTGGACCAGCCTAAGTTGAACCCCAACCCATGATCTGAACAACACAGCACACATTTGCAGTTGCCTAAGATGAAGATCCATGGGAGTAAAGCGTTAGCACACCAAACGATAGAGGATTTCTTTTAACTAATTAAAGTTGGTCTAATTAATAAAGATTTGATCCACAATTAATTTACAATGTCGTGGATAAATCTTATTTTATTGGTGAACGTACGATCTGTAAAAAAAAAAAATTTATGTGGTTTTTAGCCCGAAAGTGTTATTGGAACCCGGTAAACATCTACTCTGGCTAGCTCTCAAAATCCAGTTCACCTCAACTTTATTTTTCTTTGTATGAAGAAGGAAAAGAGGATCTCTTCTGCAACTCAACAGATTCAAATTCGGAGGTCATCCTAATATTGCTTATTCCGCTCAGCGATCCACCTTAAGTATAGTATATCAAGGTTTAATTGTTATGAATGGCAAGATCTGATCAATTCTGTCACACTATCTTACTCCTCCTGTTTAAAAATATAATGAATTTTAGCGTTCAAAAGTGTGATCATTGTATTTTTTTTTCAAAAATATCCTTGATGAATAAACGATTTTATATTTATTTTAAAATGAAACACTCTATTAAATAAAAATAAATATGTAAAAACAGTTAGTTTGAAAATAAATAATTTTTTTATTGGGAGGTGAGATTCAATTAAAAATGCCTTATATTTTTAAACTACTTTATCTCTTTTTGCTCATATCATTCCCAGTTTTTCTTTCCCAATTTACAAAAGAGACTTCATAGATCGATATATGGATTCTGTGATGCGCGCAAGCACTCATCCTTTCTCTTCTGTTTTTCTTCTTCATCTTCTTCTCCTTTTGTACTCGAAATTAAATTTGAATTAGGAATTGAACTTGAACTACCTGATATCATCATCAAAAATTAACCGTCAATATCATCAGTTGCCTCAAGATATGCTATAAAATTAGGAAATTACATAATGCATCAGATACACTGGATAATTAAGTTTCTCACTACTTACACATCAACGAAACCTTCCCTAAATTGATTGCCCGACTCTTCAAACGGCTTTCGTAATGAGTACGAACGTTAATTAGTACTAAGTGCTCCTGCTATAGATATATACTCGAGACACATATACATCCAAGATCGATACAATTAAAGAAACCTTAGTGAAGTTGTTATTATTATTATATTATACAGGCACGCTACGCATATATAGACTGAACCATCCAGATTTGGCATAAAATCAAACTTGGATTTGTAGTGGTTCGTGTCAGCGGGAAGCAGCAGGCAAAGCAGTGGTTCCAACAAGGGAAGCCCTCTTCACAAACCGACCTTTCATTCTAGGTCTTTTTTCTGCATTCAATTTCCTAACCTCGTACCTTATTTTCTTCGAAAATAAACGTGTTCTCCTCTTCTCTCTGTACCTCGACACTCTTGCTTCTCTTCCCCCATCTATGTGTCCCCTTAAGCTCCCCAGTTCCCCATAACAGCACTGATGAACATCTCCCCCGTTCCAACCCTGAGACAAGTACAAAAATAGTTTCATTCATATGGGAAATAAATTAGGTCTTGGATTGATCTTTTAGCAATACAAGACCACACGGTGAATGCCTGCTGAAGAAAAACTGTCCAGTTGAGTTCAAATCTTTCCGTTCAAGACATGTCATTTCTACCAATTGAGCCAAACCTATAAATCATATCGATTCTATAGATTTTAGATATGCAACTGATGATGTAGCTTTGTGGATGCAACAGTTTGCAAGTTGAATGAGAAGAACAGCGTATACTTAATTAAAAAAAGCAGTATTTGAGGATGTCCACGACAGATTAAATATCAATTAGCAGTAAGAATAATTCAGCTGAAGATCCATTATTGGTCAATATGTATACAGCTTATTGTTACTTACTGATTGGGTCTAATTGATTTTGTTGGGAGTCTAAATGAATATGTGTGTGGGTGTCTTTGTGATCAGAATGAAAGAAGTGGTTGAGAGAAGAGGGTGAATACCAAGCAGTGTGGCCAGCAGTCATTAGAGTTCAACTGAGGTGGGTTTCCTGTTGTCCAAGGACAACCTTGACTTGCCCAAGCAGTTATGACATCCTCGTAGTTTAGCCTCAGCAATATCTTTGCCTTCGTCTCCACCTTCTTTTCCTCTTCCACTGATGATGATGAGCCATGTATTGTCTGTATGTTCCAATTTAAGGTCTCGCCTGTGATGCCTACAACCATGTTAGCTTCAACTACTTCTTCACCCTTAATCTTTACCATTGCACTATTTTTGTCTGATCCCACCACAGTACCATCTAATGCCTCCATCATTTCTTCTTGCTTACAATCCAACAGTTCTTCTCCTGACTCATCAAGCCCACTTTCCAGTAAGCTTTCAACATCAGCAGCAAACTCTGCAAGATCCATATCCGACGCAAGAAACTCTGAAAAATTGTCTAGGTCACATGTTGCTTCATCTTGCCCCCCATTCACATCATCTTTCTTCATCACAACGTCCAACCTCTCATCGCCAACTTCGCTGTAGATGTTGCAAAGGTCGTCTTCAAACGGATCAAACTCCGGAACCCGGCAAAGAAACTGCTCGTCACTCTCGTCCAGCCCACCTTCTTCGCTTCCGAGCTCCGGCACGACGGGAAGAATACTACTATTAAAAATCGCTCCCTTTTCTTCATGTTTGGATTTTTTCTGAGCCAATAACTGCTTGCTATTATGACGCGGGGTTCTTGCCTTGCGTGTGAATCCACTATACCATACTTGCGATATTGCCTTTTTGGAGCACGATGCGGTTTGGAGACGAACCCTTTCATGTCTGCTGGCCAACTGATTCGCAGAGTGAACCAGATTGTCGCAGCCATGGCATAAGAAAGCGTCATCGGCTGCGCAGAACCATCGAGCTCGTCGGCGAAGGCAGCTATCACAAGCTCTTGCAGTTTTAGCTCCCAACGCAGTGGCTGCTTTCATCTTCTTCTGGCGTTCAGGTGAGCAAATGCGTGTCTTGTAAAAGTATGTATCTATGAACCCAAGCGGATTCAATTATTGTGTGTGTTGAGACTTGAAAGTGTGTGGGGGCGATGGGGCACTTAATTACTCACTAGAGAGGTAACAAGGGCAAGGGCAAGGCATGCCCATGCACTTTTGGTAATTTTTTGGGAATCAGAAAAAATTAAAGGACGGAATCATGTGGGACCTCGTGAAGGAGGGCTATCTCAGTGCTGATTGGTGGAGGGTTTGATGTTCATCTTCTTTTGAGAATTCTGATTGGGTTATCTCTCCTATTAGGGGATTCCCAAGAGCGTTATGGACCCAGGTGGTGAAGTGTCTGTTAGTAAGAGTGTTAATATCTGAGAAAGAAACTTTCGTTGTGTAGCCTCTCTCCAGTTCAATTATTCCTTGCAGAGGCTTTATCATTTCCCGTTTTCATGGTCCCCTATTGGTTGCTTTCACTTCACACCTGTGGTTGCCCTCAATCCCTCTCTCTCTCTCTCTTCGCTTGTCACAGTGCATTTGCCACCATTAGAAGCAGTGCAGCCCCACAATAATCTCGATATTAACCATAAAATATAAATGATATATATGGATCCTGGATGATTTAGTGGCTAGAGCTCTCCATCTTTAGAATTCGTTTCTTCTGTTGGCGTGTTCAGAGAAATCTGAACCATAAAGTCAAGGAAGGGCCTCGTCAACTGTTTCTTTTGCCATATCACTTTGGATTTTTCCTTTTATCTTACATTGATGGCTCAACTTTTTCAGCACCAAAATTCCAAGACCTGATTAATAGCGAGCCAATCATCTTGCGAATCTTTCATTTTTCTTTTTGTGGGCTTCCTAATCATTGATTTTACCATTAAGTACGAGTTATATATATATATCAGCAGCAGCACAGTAAGTTAGTTCTTTTAATTTGTTTTTAATTAACCGAACTGGGAGATTACTGATGAGAAAGAAGCTGATATGAATCTACAAATCATATCTGATTGGTAATTGTAAATCAGATGTGAATGTGGACATTGTGGAAATGAGTCCAAAGAAGAGCCATCACCATAACATTTGGTATGTATACCAACACCACAAATTGCTTTAATTATATGAGGCCAAAAGGTTGCCCTTTTATGTTTGTGTCGTCCTTCACCACCATTCCACAACTTTCCTTTCATTAAATTCTCTATCACGGGTCTCTCATGCAAATCAACTGCATTATATATATATATATATATATTGTATGAATCTCCTCAAACAATTTAAAAAAAAAAAACAGAAGATAACGTTGCCATTTTGAGTGAAATTTGACTATATATATGTTAAGTTAATTTGGACAATTTAAATCTATTGAAAAAAAAAGAGTATTCTTTTTATGTTTAATATAAAAGACGTAACCTAAATCATGCAAATTGATGAAATGACTCAAAACAAATTAAAGAAAATGCAGATAAAAGAAACGGAAGAGATATTGTTGGGAACAGACATAAAAAATGAAGAGGATTTTATAATGTCCTCCTTCTATATATGTATATATATTTTATACACATACACTCGTGTAATTTTGACCAAAATATAAAGGGAAGAAATATAATCTTAGGGGCACAAGGATAATATCGTGGTGGTGACGGTGATGTTAAAAAAATCTTGAGAATTGATGGAACAGTGGAAGGATGAGAGCAAGATAAGTGGTGACACCTGTTGAGGTTCCGACAATCAGATGGAAAGTTACTTCAAACTGATAGTCCATTGATATGTAATAGCAAGTTACAGCATGACACTTGTTCAACTTCCAATTTCACATGAATGTTACTCATCTCAGCAACATATTTAGGCTTCAACTGGTCCAACAAGATTTTCGAATCTACATTTTTATGTTTTTTATTATACTTTTTATTGGGGTATTTTATATTCTTTTGAGTTAACTTGTCTTTAATTAAAGTTTAATCATTTGAATATTATTTAGTATTGTGTAAATTAAGGAGTTGCTGCAGTGGGAATGAAGGTCTAAGGATATATTGCAAGTCCAGGGATTTTCGTACAGGAAGAGAGAGCGAGTGACGTAAGTTAATCATCTTGGTGGTATCTTCTCATTTTCATTTTCTTTTTATCGTTATTAATTCTGTAAATAGATGTTAGTTTTTTTTTTTTGGGGTGCAAAATGAGTCAATTTTGTTAATCACCAAAAAATACATATTACACTTACTAATAGCCCAAGTCAAAAAAAGTCTCGAAAAGAACTTATGAATATAACTTAACACACAACTTACAAAAGCAAAAACAAAAAAAACAAATTAACAAACTAGAGAAACAACACAATTAACCAATTCTAGTTATATTAGAAACACAATTAACATTGGCAGAATCATTGCCGTTCAACGAGTCTGCAACTAAAGCATCCAAGAGAGGAGATGGAGCTCTAAAGAGCCAACCTTGCGGATCCATCATCCTAGCACCATGAGATGCAAGTAAATCCACAACAGAATTACCTTACCTTGCAACCAAAGCAAAGTCCACACGACCAACAGAATCTTTAAGCAGCAATAAATCCTCCAAGACAATCAAACATCGCCAATCACAATCCTTCACAAAATTCAACAACAAAGCTTTAAACAAAAATTCACAATCAAGCTCAATACAAACCTTATAGTTTTGGAATCTTCTGCATGCCCAAAAAGCCTATTTTACTGCTAAACACACAGCCATCAAACTCTAATTAGATATGTGTGTGGGTGGGGGTTGGGGGGGTGTGTGTTTGTTATTTTTTTATTTTGACTAAAGATATGTTGTACTCTTCATCAGATTATACTTTTATAGAGGATGTTGTGTTAGACTTGTATACTAATACACCTTTTGCTGCAATGGAATTGGAAATGAAAAGGCGGAGATGAAAGTGGGAACTCTAAAATTTTCTTATTTGGTGTAAAAGAATTCAATTTTCTAAGGAAGAATTCAATTTTCTAAGGAACGTAATTCCATAAAGGAAAAAAAAAACCATGGAACTTACTTCTATTATACTTTTAGGAGAACTCAATTAAATAAAATTTTTAATCCTTCTCACTTAAATAAAGTTTTTATCTCACTTCAATCATCATACTGAACATGATTTCTATTTTCATCTTCATCAAAAACGCTTCCCTCATAGCAAATGGGGTAGAAAAAGAAGCCAACTTAATTAATTATTAGGCTGTGTGAAGAATATATCAAATGTAATTAACCAATGAATGAAGTGATTAACAAAGAAGAGGGTGAGGCAGGGAAAGAATTAAGGTTGATGAATGAAGACATCGACTAGGTAGTTACATTTGGTCATCAGCTTAATGAATTAATTAATTAATTAATAATGGAGGAGTTTTGTTTGATGACACAGGCTATGAGCATGGTATTAGAAGGTTAATTAAAAAAATTGACCAAAACAGGCACTGAGAGAGTCATCCATCGATCGTCTTCCTCAATCTCATCAAATCACAAGTTATGGCACCCACTCCCGATTTCTCTTTCTTCTGCTTTCTCCCAACTCAACTTCCTAATCCTCCCCACGCGCTACCCCTATTTTACTCTAATTAAAATCAATGAAAAAAGAGAGCCACTCGACTGAAAATCACAGTTTTATCCATCGCAGTTAAATATATTCTGCCTTTTTTATTATAAGAAAAGTTGTCATATGTTTTTTTTTATTTTATCACATTTTTTATAAGAAAATCGCTCAAATAAATACTAGAAGCATTTAATACTTTTTTTCAAATTATCCCTCATATGATAAAAATTTATTTTCACAAGACAAATTTATTACATCAATTATAAAAGTAGTTTAATAGATTTTTTTTAATTTTAGACATAATTATTATACTCAATGAATTGGTTATTTTCCTTATTACATTTGAAAGTACTCCACTTCCTATTATAAGTCATCTACAAGTCTTTAATCAATTCACTAGAACCAAATAAAAGTAATTAAGTTATTAACTTTTGCTTGAAAATATAATATAATAAACTTTTAATTTTGCCTTTATTAAATGAAAATTTCAAATTTGCATTAGATTCGTTGTCACACCTAGGTCATGATTTCGTTGAAAAGGGAAATCAACAAATGGGGGGTTGCCACTAAAATTTTTAAAGGATAATTTTGAAAACCTTTATAAAAAAACATCATCTACAATAACTAAAATAAAGTTTGGGAGTTGATTGTGCGTGGAGGAATGTGTAGGCACCCTACAATACCTCTTCACAATAATGATTACTCTAAGTTGGTTAAACAAAATTAATGTGACCTTAACTATAATTTAATTATCCTTAATAAAATAATAAAAAAGAAAACAAGAAGAAAAATTAAATCAAAAAATAAAAAAATATTATTTATTTATAAGTTGAACTTGACCTAGGATAAAATTTTAAAACCTGTGTGCCCTTCAGAAGGATCAAAACTCACATAGTTTGAAAGTAATAATGGGTGTCTTTGTGACTTTTAGAAGAAAGATTTTTTCATTTTTGAAAATTATTTTTATTTTGGGTTTGTATCTTTTAATTTAGAAAGAGACTTCTCTCATTATTTGAGCAAAAACCTTGTAAAAAAATTTTAGATTGAAATTTCTACAACGATTCAAAAAATCTCACAAAGAAATTAATTATTTTATGCCTGTGGAGATTCTCAAATCACATAAAAATCATTTTTCAATATGTTTATTTATTTATTTTTAAAAAAGAAAACCCTTTTTAAAAAGGATTTCTAAGAAAAAAAATTTAAGCACCATGATTGTTAAGTGATGTGTATTAGTTATTCAAATTAAATTAAGAAATACCCTAATGTTTATAAGGAGTAACCCAAGTTGAATCTCTCATGAAGTTAATTAAAAATTAACACCTTAGTTATTTAAATCTATCACGAATAGTAACAATTTGATTGGGTTTGATTGATTAGGAATTAAACAATCAAATATTAAATAAAAACTAATTTTTTTGGTATTTTTTAGGTTGGATAGATTTTGAAAATGGTTAAAATGTGTTATTAAAATGCAAAACGATGTCTTCCTAAACACATGAACTCCCTTCTTATCCTTGGTCTCACTACTATAAAAATAACAATATTCAACGGTTATTTTAGATAATATTCAACGGTTATGAACTGTTGAGTAATCAGGCGCTGAATATTC